CCTACTGGCTTCGCGCGCGAGCACTTAACCATTAGACCACTGAGCCGGCATCCAACGGTGTTAATGTCTAACTTCAACTAATCCACGAATTTGCGCCACCGTATACCATTGTCTTCAGTTAGCTGATATCTCACAACATGGTGGTATAGCCTCAACTGACTCATGATTTCAATCTGTGAAATTTCTAAAATCTCCACAAACCCCTTCTGACAAATTTAATTACCAAACAAATGAAAGAAAGATGAAATGGTTTAGTTATTCTCTTTCAATTCAAACAACCAAAAATTTAAAACATGACAATATTGTGTAATTATTTTGAAGTATCCGGAAGAACGCTAGAAAGAAAGACATCCTACTGAAAAATATCTGACTCATTAGTTTATCATTGAGCTGCACATTAGAGAGAGAGATGTCAGGCTTCATCGTTTATATAAATCAAAGTTTCAGCTAATTCATAGTAGGAACACATACAAGCCGACTAGACGATAAACTCCAGGATCCACATATACAGAAATAAGTTAACAGCTTATAGATATCAGTTAGCATTTAATGACATAAAAGCTTTGAATAATTTTCAAACAGAGATGACTTTTGTGTATTTTAGGTATTCTATCATCTTTAAGTTCTGTATTCATTGTAAAGATACATTTAAAAAGCTTGAATATCTACATGCTTTATGAAATCTCTTCATCTTCTTATCAACAGAATATTCATCGTCCTTTCATCTATTCTGATATTTTTATGTGCATTTACATTAAAATTAACTGTCTTGTTAGGTTCTCTGTTGATAGCTGATCAAAATGAAATTATTCAGACCAAATATATGGCATCATTAATAATATGAAAGTGAGTAATAGAAGTGTCCATAATTTAAAAAACCTTAATAGAATATGTCGATGAAACTATGACAAAACACAATTGGCAAATACATTTCTTATATAATTCTGATATAACGTTAGATGTGGCCATGATTACAAGAGAGCAGATGTATTTTCTAGTCTAAATGTTAATTATTTCATTCAAATTATATAGTATAACGGTTTCTATCACATCCATAGGTAATCCGGCCATTAAATATGTCATTCTAACCTCGTCAAGTATTTTATGACTTTACTGTGTATTTTCTCATATGTAACTTCATCAACTGGATTATTTCCACTTTTGCTTTAGCTTGCCTTATGTTTATATCATTCATACTCTAATTGGTTAACGGTAATTTAAACCCTATTCAGTTTTAAATGAAGACAGGTTCACGCATTATTCATAGGGTAGGGACGTTTATTTTCTCAATTCACATCTCTCACCATCTGTCTTCACTAATGAATATATTTCAGAATGCTCTCGTATTCGGATTTCGATATACAATTGTTCCATACGCGTTAAGTCGACAAAATATTTATGACGTTGAGTGGTATACATATTTCATTGACATCATTATCGTTCGACCATTATGGAGTTAAAATCAGGTATTAAATTAGTAACAATGACCAGCTATCCAATGACATTATGATAAGTGAAATAACAGTCGAGAGCAATGCTTAACGACCATCGGTTCAGAATACCATTCTCTCACGCTCCATCGCCCTTTAGCCAAAACAGAACACACACACAGAATGAAGATAACTTCTAACTATACAGTTTTGAAAGATCAACATTGCTTAATATTTCCCTCATCATAGTAAATTCATTGTAACATATATTAATAGGACCACACTTTCCTGTTGAATCTAAGTAATTTAAAAATATATATATGTATGATTATAAGGAAATAGTAACATGATACCATAGTGTACAGATATATTCCATATAGAACATATGCGTCATATGTAAAGTTACCATTTTTTGTTGTTGTTTTAAACAAAAATAAAGTTATGAAAGAGAAACATCTACTCAAGTTAAGAAAGTCATTGAAATGAAATAATGAATTTAATTTTAAAAATCCTAAAATCGTACTATCTGACTGGTGATCAGTCATTCACAGATAATGCGAATTTTCCTCTTCTTGCCAATAAATTAGTGTTTTACGAAACCTTATATTTTGAATAATCAGTAACTGATGAATCTAAAACACACTTATCGTAGTAGTTATAGATAATCCTAGCTGGAATGTATCTAAACCCCAATGCTTATGTATACACTAATACTTCACTACTATAGAAAGGATGAAACGACCGTCCAGTGCTTCCAGGTTCCCCGTGGTGGTCTAGCTTCAATTGACTCATGATCTCAACTATTGATTTTACTACTGTAGTATATGCTACTTATATTGACATAAGTAGTATATGATGTTAGTCGTGGACAGAAGGTCTGGCAGCAGAGAGACAAGAGGATCGAACATTAAAGAATGGAAACAGGATGCAATTTGTATGAAAATGCAAGAACAACGAAGTCTGAGTCATTTTGAGACAACTGGTGGACATTTTGCAAATTAAGTATTTACTTTATGATTGTTAGATTTTACTAACAAGTCCTGTAATTTTGTGTTAAATACATTCGATTGTCTCCATTGGTGTTCTTGTCCACTACACTACTAATCAAATCACGATCAACGCGTAAATGTGGTAGATTATCGAAGTCTCCATTCAACATGACTATGTAGCAATGAAAACTAGCCTAACTTGACAGTTAGTATTAATAATGAAAAGATGTCAGTTCTCGAAACTAATAGCCCTTATTGTATTATTTGTAAGTACGTATTTTTACTGTTCCTCAACCAACTGATAGGATTTGTGGCGCATCGCACCCCACTTGAAATATATATATATACTCATTAAATTTTAAGTGCAATATTTTGACAAACCGGTTGGTACAAGAATGGTATAAAAATACCAAGAACGAAATGTAGCGAGATACGTATATTTCACATATATTGTTAAACGCAAACAAACGATCAGACTTATTAGATGGATGTATTATGGATATTGACCATTGCTAACAAAGAACATTATTAAAGTTTGACTCAGCTTTTATATCAAATAAATAAGATGAACGGACAAATGCATACTGAAATGCACATACACATGCGAATAAGGTACAATATGTACGACCGAATAAATATGCATACAAAAAAGATATACAATGTGATTCATAAGAATAGCAATAACATACTTAACAGTATGCTTTTTAGTGTTTTATACACGAGTGAATAGAAAAGGAAAAAATAAGAAATGGATAACTGTAGATTGTTGGTATGCGAAAACGGAAACTCAGACTTAAATAACACAAACAATAACCTGTTTCCATTAGTAGAAAGATGCTTATATAGCATAGTAATCTTTTTCACAACGTCAGTGTCATTTAAATGACCAGTAAATCCATACGGGGTCAACAACAATTGAGTTTGTTCACCAAAGATTCTCAAACCGTGATCATGACTGTCAAACACGAATAAAGTCAAATCATGTACGTGGTACTCATGACTCAAATATGGCATGAAAATCCCTGCATGATAATCAAGAATAGAGTATTAGAGTGAGTGGTGATTTTCGACAACTTCGAGCTCTACAGTTATAAATCTGAAATTATTGTTTCAATGGACAACATTTCCTATTATGTTATCCCTTTGGAATCAGCATCTGCCATCCCGCCACATGGAATGGAACTCAACTACTTTTGGAATCGTTGTTTTAATTGTTGAATTAATCATTATTATTATTATCCTTATTATTATGGCACTAAGAATAATTATGAATATGAATTTATAATTAGGAATGGGAAGAATGTCGTGAGGAGTACAACTCATTATGAAAGGTAAGGGATGAAATTAGAACAACGAATGAAACAGCATCAATGTGGACCAAGATAAATGCTATGTGGGAGTATTCCAATAAAGTGGTAACTTTTGATTGACACGGCTTTATATCAATTATGAAAGGCGATCCTTGCCAAGTTAGATCAGCGAATCCGGTAAACCTACATGCCTACCACGCAGAAAACAGAAATATCGCATGTCATGGAATAACCTCAGATACTTAACTATTAGAAGCCAAAGAGAGCTGACCAACTGTTTCATCTGGGTATGGGACACCTCACCAGTTCACATCCGCAACCTTAACAAGGACTAAACCCAGAACCCGGTTTCGTGGCGAGCACCTGATCGCTTGTACGAACAGCAGGAAGATGTGGTAAATCTCCTTTCCTTTCAAGAGGAATACAGCCATGACTAAACTATTTTATCTACTTTTGATGCTTAACTGCTGCTGATGTCCACACGATAATCTTATTTCTATTATGCCGACTTGACTGTTTCATATTCAACTGTTACTAACAACCCACTACTTCCCTTAGTTGGTTCTTTGTCTATGTTATCTTCAACACTAATATTCTCATCAATCTTAACTACTATATCTTGCGTATTATCCATCGATTGTGATTTCCGGTTGTTTCAACAAAATTAGTCGCAAGCCACCTACCGGTTCGTTGAGAAGAGGCCCAACTCTAGATTGATATCTCATATCACCTAACGCTCAGCCCACAAGGATAATAAGCACCCTGGGATATTTTACGGGATTACAAGCAAGTAATTTTAGGAGGATCACCATAGCTAAGGCCTGGACTAACACATCATATACTGCACCTAAGGAAGAATGCCAAACCAATTATGCGCAACAGCGCATAACTCTGAACCAATACGCAAATCAAGTATTTGACGTGGAGCATACCAATCTCAGATGCAGCCAGCTACAGACTAACTAAATGGCTTCCAGTTATTATCAACTGGAGTACACTGTGAACCTTAACACGACTCTAGTTACGCTCACTCCTACTGGCTCCCCATATTCCACACAATGTCCACGAAAATCCTTGGCTCATCTCCTATTACCTGGACAGACCCACGCCGCTTGCATACCCCGAGACAATGATCACGCCGAGGAACTATTGAGAAGCTGAGAGGCCACCGGGAGCCTCGGTAGCAAAACTTGGTCGCCAGGCGTCCTACACAACCGAAGCGGTTTGACGGTAACCTGTGCTTAACCGGCGAACCACACTATGTTGCATTTCCACACTCGACAATCATCTACGGAGAAACCTTGTCAACCAATTTATGTTGGCCGAAAACCCGTTACTCAACAGTGTAACACTGGGTGTACGCAATTAAACTGGAGGCTGGGGTAGGTGGTAACTAACAAGCATCATCCTCTGTGCAGACAAACACACCTACATCCTATCGACTCGGCAGAGCGAATAGGTCACAAGCATGTTGCGCTGAAGACTGCTCTCTGGAAGTATGGATAAACGGTCTTGGTTGGTCCATCCCACAACACAGGTCACTTGCGCCGATTACTCAAGTTAACTAAACCCAAATCTGTCCACACACCCGACCATCTCTGACAAGCATTAAGAACTTAGGAAGTTGAAAACCCTGCTCCCACAGTAACTAAGTAAGAACGAAACCAAAGTGACTGATCATATTTATCACACAAACCAAAGGTACATGATGCCTCGTCGGAAATGGACGTCCCCGGACTTTGATTTAACCTAAAATGGAAACACAACACACTTAGTTCTGACAGGTATTTGCAAAATCAGACGAGGAATGTAATCGCGTATCATTCAAGAGGTGTCACATCATTTCATTTACTCACCTTAGACGATCGAGTCGACAGTTTTCAAGTCCTTATCTGGAAATAGAAAAACTTGGTAAGTGAGATTGTCAGTAGAGAGGTTAAAATCACAAGATCAATTGAAACACGGAACATCATTTGTTATGCCAAAGAACTCAGCGATATCTTACCATGTTTTTTCGCACCCCTCTGATGTCTCTCGGGACGATCACAGCAGACGGCGTTCTGAAAAGTGAAAAGACGCGTTAATGGTTTAAGAAATTATCAGTGAAGCTATATCGACTCATGTTTATCATATGAACTATGCGACATCATTAAAATTAATAAACCTTACCTAATCTCGCGAAAGTTGACCATCAACCATTTGGTGCATGCGAAGACCAAGCAACCACCTAAGGTTAATAAAAAAAAACCCCAGGTTACGGAACAAGCTTCAGATAGGGGCGTGTGCGGACACGAGTCCAGTAGAATTGTCAACATCATTTTAATACATATAGAAAAGTACTTACGAGATGCATTTATCCAGCCAGTCTTTTCCTCATCATTCACTGAAGATTCTCACGAGTAACTGGGAACTCTTCCCACTATATATTTGACTGGAGGAAACATAGCCCGTATGGTTATCATTTTCTTAGACCCTACAATGAGATAAAACACCGTGTAACGATAGACAATCAGGGACAAAGAGTTCGTTTCATAAGCATCAATAGCAGAACTGGAAAACATCATGAATAACATATCATTGGCTACCAAAACTTTACCACAAGTGGTGTGCGACACCAACCACGCCCTACCCTCCACCTTAGGTCGTGCGAAAATAAATAGGCGGAGAAAGTCATATAAACAAGCAACCATGTTTTGTGTTCAATTCTAGTCGTTTAACCTTTTCAAGCAGTTAGCATAAAAGATTAAGTTTTGGTTAGTGACGTCTTGCCTAGCATTTATTTGACCAAAATTCGAGCATCACATACATTTTTAGTGGGTTTGTCCAACACCTCGAAGTGTCTAGGAAGACTATTGCTGACACCGAGTACGACAAACCTACTCTGGATAGATTATCCCACTCTATTCATCTCAGATACACTCTTTTCCCCATTTAAGACACTTCAATCCTCATGAAGTCAATTTCTACGAGCGAATGTACATTGGAAGTGATAGCTCTACTGAAGCTCAGTTCTTCAACCTCATTGAACTTACTTACGCCTGTTACTCCTCGTGAAGGAGCATAGGCCGCTCACCAGCATTCGCCATCCGACCCTATCCTGGGCAACCCTTTCCAGCTCCTTCCAGTTGTCATTTATCCTCTCCACATTTGCTTTTATTTCCCGACGTAATGTGTTCTTTGGCCTTCCTCTTTTCCGCCTTCCTTCAGGATTCCAAGTTAGGGCTTGTCTCGTGGTGAAGTTTGACGATTTGTGTAGTGTATGTCCTATCCATTTCCATCGTCTTTTCCTAACTTCCTCTTCGGCCGGAAGCTGGTTTGTTCTCTCCCAGAGGAGGCTGTTGCTGATGGTATCCGGCCAATGGATGTTGAGTATCTTGCGTAGACAGCTATTTATAAATACTTGCACCTTCTTGATGATGGTTGTTGTAGTTCTCCAAGTTTCAGCTCCATACAGTAGAACTGCCTTGTCATTCGTATTGAAGATTCTCACTTTGATATTGGTTGAAATTTGTTTTGAGTTCTATATGTTCTTCAACTGTAGGAATGCTGTCCTTGCTTTGCTGATCCTCGCCTTTAAGTCTGCATCTGAACCTCCTTGTTCATCAATTATGCTTTCCAGGTATGTGAAGGATTCTACATCTTCCAGAGTTTCGCCATCAGGAGTGATTGGATTGCTGTCCTCCACTTTGAATTTGAGGGCCTTGGTTTTCCCTTTGTGTATGCTGAGGCCTACTGATGCAGAGACTGCTGCTACACTGGCTGTTTTTATCTGCATTTGTTCTTGTGTAAGCGATAGGAGGGCTAGGTCATCTGCGAAGTCCAAATCGTCTAATTGATTCTGAGCTGTCCATTGTATTCCGCGTTTTCCCTTAAATGTCGAGGTCTTCGTAATCCAGTCGACCACCAGAAGAAAGAGGAAGGGAGAGAGTGGACAGCCTTGTCTGACTCCAGTCCTTACTTGGAATGCATCTGTCAGCTGTCCTCCATGCACGACTTTGCATTGTAGTCCGTCGTATGAGTTTCGGATAATGTTGACAATCTTCATAGGAACTTCGTAGTGTCGAAGAAGTTTCCATAACGTCCTCCTGTCTACACTGTCAAATGCCTTTTCATAATCGATGAAGTTGATGTACAGTGACGAGTTCCACTCAACTGATTGTTCGACGATGATCCGTAGTGTCGTAATTTGGTCTGTGCACGACCGATCCTTACGGAATCCAGCTTCTTGATCTCGAAGTTGGACGTCTACCGCATCCTTCATCCGGTTCAGCAACACTCTGTAAAAGACTTTCCCTGGTACTGACAGTAGTGTGATGCCTCTGTAGTTTTCACATTTGCTCAGATCTCCTTTCTTTGGAATCTTGATGAGGTGTCCTTCTTTCCAGTCCATCGGCACTTGTTTCTCCTTCCAAATCTTTTTGAACAGAAGGTGAAGCATGCTTGTAGTTACTTCGATGTCTGACTTCAGTGCTTCAGCTGGTATGTTGTCGGGTCCCGCTGCTTTCCCGCTCTTGATTTGTCCGATGGTCATTCTGATTTCTTCCGTCGTTGGTGGGTTGACATCTATAGGTAGATCTGTGTGTGCTGCTTCGATGTCCGGTGGATTCATTGGAGCCGGCCTATTCAGGAGTTCCTCGAAGTATTCTACCCATCTGTTCCGATGTTGTTGAATTTCAGTGATTGGCTTGCCTTCTTTGTCCTTGACCGGTCTCTCTGGTTTACTGTATTTCCCTGCTAGTTTCTTCGTTGTATCGCAAAGTTGTTTCATATTTCCTTCCCTTGCAGCTTTTTCCACCGTCGTTGCTAGTTCTTCCACGTATTTCTTCTTGTCGGTTCTAATGCTTTTCTTCACTTGCCTGTTTGCTTCTATGTATTCAGCTTGTGCTTGGACTTTGTTCGTGTTCGGCTGTTGTTAATTGCTGTCTTCTTGTTCTTTTTTTCTTTGATCTTGTCCAGTGTTTCTATCGAGATCCATTCCTTATGATGATGCTTCTTTAGGCCCAGAACCTCTTGACACGTTAAAGTCAATGCTTCTTTGATACCTTTCCAGTTGTCCTCCATAGTAGTCTCTTCTTCCTTCAGTAGATTCTGTAAGGCTCGAAACCTGTTGTTGAGAGCTATCTTGAATTCACTGAGTTTGTCAGTATCTCGAAGGAAGGCTGTATTGAACCTTTGTAATGCTGTTTGTCCAGTTGTCCAGTTTTTCTTTAGCTTCAGTTTTAAATTGGCCACAACTAGGTGGTGATCTGAAGCTATATCAGCTCCTCTCCTGCTTCTCACATCTTCTATTGTCTTTCGGAATTTTTATTGATGCAAATATGATGTATCTGGTTCTCTGTGGTGTGGTCTGGTGAGATCCATGTAGCCTTGTGTATACGCTTGTGTGGAAATATTGTGCCTCCTATGACCAATCTGTTGAATACACATAGATTTGCAAATCTTTCCCCATTTTCGTTTCTCTCCCAGTCAATCCATGTCGCCCCATGATATCTTCATATCCGGTGTTGTCTATCCCGACTTTGGCATTTAGATCTCCCATCAGAATGGTCAGGTCCTTTCTTCGGCACTTCTCTATGATTGATTGCAGCCTCTCATAGAATTGATCTTTAATGTCGTCATTGCTATCATTGGTGGGTGCATAACATTGGATAATATTCATTAGTATCCCGTCCTTCTTTGTTTTGAATGATGCTTTGATGATTCTGGATCCGTGAGATTTCCATCCTACAAGTGCATTTTGTGCTACTTTGAACAACATTAGAGCAACTCCCTGAGTGTGTGGAGCATTTTCCTTTTCATGACCGGAGTGTAGCAGCACTTCTCCCGTATTTAACCTTTGTTGTCCAGCTTGGGTCCAATGGGTTTTGCTGATTCCCAGTACTGTCAAGTTGTATCTCCTCATTTCCGTTGCTATTTGACTGGTCTTCTCGGTCTCCCACATTGTTCGGACGTTCCATGTACTCATAAAAATTTTTGCTCTGGTTGTTAGAAGGGAAATTGGCCTCGTGGCTTCCGAAGGAACTCGGCTTTCACCATGAAGCGTCATAATTCTCCTAACTCTCAGGGCAGAGTTTAAATGGTTTGAATTATTTTTTCTGGTAAGCGTTTTTTAGCGAGTTAGTTTTCTACGGGATGGGGACGCTAACCCCATGCCCAACCCTCCTCCTTTACCTGGGCTTGGGACCGGCAGTAACTCTAGAAGAGCTACAGGCGGAGTTAACCTCATTGAAGATTTGGAATTATTCGAAAATGTCAAGTGATCAACTCAATGAAGAAATAGTCAGACGCCTTCATACTTAGAGTGATCGTTTACAAGCAGAGAATTCCTGGTTGACAACCTCTCCATCCTGACTCCGTCGAGAAGTGATCGTGCCATCATAGCCTTCAATCTTACCAGCAAACCTAAGCTAAAACATTCTACTAACAACAGGCATTCGAATTCCAAAGTTTAAGATATGCCGGATTTACAGAACGATCTACAGCACGTGGACTGGGAAGTGCATCCTCAATTTAATAATAGTAATAACAATAGCTTGAACGCTTAATGGGATTTCTTACTGTGCAGGATCTTACGAGCTACAAACCAGTCTGTCTCTCAAACAGTCCTCTAAAATTACAAGCAGCGTATAGTCATAAATCATCGCACTCTTCTAATGTTAAGACTCTAAAGGTACTGTTAGGTGAATTGCAAACGAACCAGTCACGACAACACTTATAGGCGGTTCAAACGAGCAAGGAAGCAATGCACAAAGGCGATAAGCGGAGACAAAGTACGGTATCAGATAAAACTAATCGATAAATTCGTCTCCAGTCCGAAAGGCCTGTTTCGTCATGAAGCTCCTCTTCTAAATGCTAAAAGCGAAGTTCTCTAGTTGTTAGGTCTTGATGTCTCAGCCAACAACGACAGTGATACCCCCGAAATTCTGGCAGAACAGTAGTTTCAAACATTTTGACCGTTCCCACTAGTGATCTGGTGCGAATGCGTGGCCGATTGCCTTCAGATAGGTGGGTACATTAAAACTAATTCGGTCTACATCAAATGTCCAAGACTTACAGAGCTGTTGATTTTTGGGATCTGTTCACTGCTACACTATAAACATTCAAGCTATCTGTCGATTGCATTTCTCTCAATACCCTCAAAAATTACGGGGTCCCAGATATACAACGGTCTAAGAGACCACAGATTTCTTTGTACCCTAACAAAACGGTCTCAATAAGGATCACTCCTGTATAATCAACCTGTTGACCACGGTGAACCAATTGAAAACCATCTTTGATAGCAAGAGGAAGGTTGATGTCATATATCTTGATTTCTCAAGAGCTTTTGGTAGGGTCAATCATGCATGTCTTATCAATAAGCTTGAACGTCTGGGCATCAATTCATCACTGATAGATTGGTTTACTTCATATATAACTAATCGACTTTTAGGGTCAGGGTAAGCGTCCTTTTTTCTCAGGCAACAGAATGTCACTGTGGGATTCCTCGGGGTTCACTACCAGGACCTCTTCTCCCTTTAGATTATATGGGTGCCCTTCCTCAGAAAGTATCGTCTGATTTGTTGCTTGTCGCTAGCGTTGTGATGCTTCAAAGAGAAGTTTGCAACCTAGGTGATAAGCCGGCGTTTGGGGAGTACCTGGACCGACTTTATGACGAAGATAATGACTAAGACAGGCTTCAGTTCCTTTCTTC